GGAGAATGGTGTGAACCGGGAGGCGGAGATTACAGTGAGCCAAGATGGTGCCACTGCACTCCAGCCTGGGCGACAGAGTGAGACTCCATCTCAAAAAAACATAATAATAATACAAAAAATTAGCCAGGTGTGGTGGCACGCACCTGTAATCTCAACTACTCAGGAGGCTGAGGCGCGAGAATCACTTGAATCCAGGAGGCAGAGGTTGCAGTGATCTGAGATCCTGCCATTACACTCCAGCCTGGGCAGCAGAGCAAGACTCCATCTCAAAAAATAAGCAAATAGGCCAGGAGGGTGACTCACACCTGTAATCCCAGCTACTTGGGAGGCTGAGACAGGAGAATCACTTGAACCCAGGAGGTGGAGGTTGCAATGAACCAAGATTGTGCCACTGCACTCCAGCCTGGGTGACAGAGCAAGACTCCATCTCAAAAAAGTAAATAAATAAATATAAACTTCCACTCTTGACCTCACTCCTTGTGTGTCCACATCCTTGATTTCCTCCACTGTAAGACAATGAATCTCAGTTATCACCCCAGACAATGGCCCTTTCAATATCATTCTCCCCACTTCCCCAGTGCTCAGTAAGGCTAGGCCAGGCTGAACCATTTGAGTCCCAGAAGCTTAGAATGGAATGGGCCACATGCCTCGGTGCCCACCCCCCGTCATGCCTGGCTTAAATCCCTTCAGCCTCTGGTGAAATGACTGGTCACAGTAGCCTCCTTTGTTTGGCTTTCTAGCGCTAGACTGTGACCTGGATGAAAGTAACAATAGTGAGCATGTATTGAGTGCCTACTGGATGCCAGGCACTAAGCGCTTTTGATGCAACCATCTGATTCTTCCACCTTCTCTATTTATTCGTGCGTTTATTCAACAAATTATTTATTTTATTGTATTGTTTTGTATTTATTTTCATAGACAGGGTCTTGCTCTGTTGCCCAGGCTGGAGTGCAGTGGCATGATCATTGCTCACTGCAGCCTCAACCTCCTGGGCTCAGGCGATCCTCCCACTTCAGCCTCCCAAGTAGCTGGGACTACAGGTGCATGCCACCAGCCCAGCTAATTTTTTTAATTTTTTGTAGAGACAGAGGTCTCCCTATATTGCCCAGGCTGGTCTCAAAGTCCTGTTCTCAAGTGATCCTTCTGCCTCCACCTCCCAAAGCCGTGCAATTACAGTTGTGAGCCACTGCACCCAGCCTATTCAACAAATATTTACTAAGCATCTGCTGCATGCCAGTTCTGTTCTAGGTGCAGTAATATGACAGTGAACAAGACAGACAAAATTCCCTGCTTCATAGAGCTGAGTTGAGAGGAGAGATCAATAATAAACAAAATAAATAAGGCAAATGGATCACAGTTTAAATGGTGCTAAGTGCTAACAAGGAAAATAAAGGCCCAGCATGATGGTTCATGCCTGTAATCCCAGCACTTTGGGAGGCCAAGGTGGGTGGTTTGCTTGAGCCCAAGAGGTTGAGATCAGCCTGGGCAATATGGCAAAACCACATCTCTACAAAAATACAAACATTAGCTGGGCATAGTGGTGCACACCTGGAATCCCAGCTACTTGGGAGGCTGAGGCAGAAGGGTCGCTTGAGCCCAGGAGGCAGAGGCTGCAGTGAGCTGAGATCATGACCCTGCACTCTAGCCTGGGTAATAGAGCAAGACCCTGTCTTGAGAAAATAAAAAAATAAAGCCAGGAAAGGGGTGGAATCCAACAAGAGGGGCGCCCTCGCTGGCTGGGAACATTATGAGATAGGTATCACAAACCTCATTTTACAGATGAGTAAACTCAATCTCCGAGAAATGAAGTCACTTCTGGAGGTCACACAGGGAAAGTGAGCTAGTACTGTAATTTGCCTTTCTGGACTCCCTTTGAGCTCTGACCTCTGGGTGAGCAGCTGAAGCACAGAGAAAGGGAGATTAAGGAGACACGCCCAGAACAGGGCAGGGGTACCAGGTGTAGCTGTGCACGTTGTACACTGCACAACTCCAGAAGTACCATTCATAGAAATCACAATGTGAATGCTTGCCCCCTTGAGTCTGGAAGGGCACAAGAATCACAAATTAATGTGGTGGCCTGGAGATAGGAACAGGTCACACAGGTAACCCTGGAGAGAAAGTTTCAGCCGGACGTGGTTCACGCCTGTAATCTCTGCACTTTGGAAGGCCAAAGCGGGTGGATCACCTGAGGTCAGGAGTTCAAGACCAGTCTGGCCAACATAATGAAACTCCGTCTCTACTAAAAATACAAAAAATTAGCTGGCCATGATGGCACGCACCTGTAATCCCAGCTACTCAAGAGACTAAGGCAGGAGAATCGCTTGAAACCAGGAGGCGGAGGTTGCAGTGAGCCGAGATCGGGCCACCACACTCCAGCCTGGGCAACAAGAGCGAAACTCCGTCTCAAAAAAAAAAAACAAAAAAAAAAAAACAAGAAAGAAAGAAAGAAAAAAAAAGTCTCTATTGCCAGCTGCCTATTCTCATAGCTTGCTTTTTCACTTAATGCATCAGCAGCCACTTCCGCATGTCAACACATAAAGATCTAGCTGAGTAATTCTCCCAAAGCTGGTCCCACTAGACCAGCAATGTCACATCACCTGGGAATCTTTATAGACAGGGTCTCACTCTGTTGCCTAGGCAAGAGTGCAGTGATGGGATCACAGCTCCACTGCAGCCTGGAACTCCTGGGCTCAAGCAATCCTCCTGCCTCAGCCTCCGGAGTAGCTGGAACTACAGGCATGCACCACCGCACCTAGCTTTTTTTTTTTTTTTTTTTTTAGAGACAGAGTCTCCCTATATTGGTCAGGCTGGTATCAAACTCCTGAGCTCAAGTGATCCTCCCATCTCAGCTTCCCAAAGCTCTGGGATTACAGGTGTGAGCCACTGTCCTGGCCCATATTTTTTTTTCATTAGACTGTTTTTCTGTTTCCATTAGACTGTAAGCTTGCAAGGCAGGAACCATGTCTGCCTGTCTGACCACTGGACCCAGCATACAGTAGATGCCTAATACATGCTTTGTCAGATTGGAGGAAAATATATATTAGATATTAATATTATATATAATATATTTTTAAATTATATAAAGATTACATGGATATATATAAAATCAATATAATTTATTTAAAATTTCAGCTTTAAATAATTGTTTTTGGCCGGGCACAGTGGCTTACGCCCATAATCCCAACACTTTGAGAGGGCTGAGGCAGGAGGATCCCTGGCACCCAAGAGTTCAAGGTTACAGCGAGTTATGATTGTGCCACTGTGCTCCAGTCTAGGCGACAGAATGAGACCCTGTCTCAAAAAACAATAATATAATAATAATTGTATTTATGAATAACTTTTATTTAAATCAAATTATCAAAATATTTCTGGACAGGCGCGGTGGTTCATGCCCGTAATCTCAGGCATTTTGGGAGGCTAAGGCAGGAGAATCACTTGAGTCAGGAGTTCAAAACCAGCCTGGCCAACATGGCAAACCCCCGTCTCTACTAAAAATACAAGAATTAGGCCGGGCGCGGTGGCTCAAGCTTGTAATCCCAGCACTTTGGGAGGCCGAGACGGGTGGATCACGAGGGTCAGGAGATCGAGACCATCCTGCCTAACACGGTGAAACCCCCTCTCTACTAAAAAGTACAAAAAACTAGCCAGGCGAGGTGGCGGGCGCCTGTAGTCCCAGCTACCCGGGAGGCTAAGGCAGGAGAATGACGTAACCCGGAAGGCGAAGCTTTCAGTGAGCTGAGATCCGGCCACTGCACTCCAGCCTGGGTGACAGAGCGAGACTCTGTCTCAAAAAAAAAAAAAAAAATACAAGAATTAGCTGGGTAGGCCGGGCGGCGGTGGCTCACGCCTGTAATCCCAGCACTTGAGGGAGGCCGAGACGGGCGGATCACGAGGTCAGGAGATCGAGACCAGCCTGACTAACACGGTGAAACCCCGTCTCTACCCAAAAAAATACAAAAAACTAGCCGGGTGAGGTGGCGGGCGCGCTGTAGTCCCAGTTACTCCGGGAGGCTGAGGGCAGGAGAATGGCGTGAACCCGGGAGGCGGAGCTTGCAGTGAGCTGAGATCCGGCCACTGCACTCCAGCCTGGGGTGACAGAGCGAGACTCTGTCTCAAAAAAAAAAAAAAAAAAAAAAAAAGAATTAGCTGGGTGTTGGTGCTGACGCCTGTATACTCAAGAGGCTGAGGCAGGAAAATCATTTGAGCCCAAGAGGTGGAGGTTGCAGTGAGCGGAGATGGTGCCAGTACACTCCAGTCTGGGCGACAGGTACTGTGTTTCCAAAAAAAATTAAAAAATTATTAAAGTAACTTTATTCAAAAGTACATACATTAACGATATAATCGATATTGTGCCTTTTTTTTTTTTTTTTTTTTTTTTTTTTGAGACAGAGTCTGGCTCTGTTGCCCAGGCTGGAGTACAGTGGCGCGATCTCGGCTCACTGCAAGCTCCGCCTCCCAGGTTCACGTCATTCTCCTGCCTCAGTCTCCTGAGTAGCTGGGACTCCAGGGCCGCCACCACACCCGGCTGATTTTTTGTATTTTAAGTAAGACGAGGGTTTCACCGTGTTAGCCAGGATGGTCTCGATCTCCTGACCTCGTGATCCGCGCCGCCTCGGCCTCCCAAAGTGCTGGGATTACAGGCATGAGCCACCGCGCCCGGCCGATATTGTGCCTTTTTTAAGAGAAATTTTAATGTTTTAGAAGAAAAAACTTTTTGGAAAATGATATGAAAAATAATTTTAATACGTGCTTTAGCCTCGGGCTACCAGAAGAGCCCCAGATAGGGTCGAGGGAGGCCACAGTCCTACATCTTCCCCTTCTACTTTGCCCAGATGGATTTCCACGCTCAGGGAAGTCCCCTCTCGGGTCCAACCACATCCTGCGAGGGGACGCAGCACCTGTCCCGCCTCCGCCTGTCCGCGAGGTGACGCCAGGCGGACCGGAGCGATCCTCTGGAGTCCTTCATCTCTATGATCTTCGCAGCCGCCTAAGCGACCCGGAAGCCGTGTCTAGCTGAGGGGTCAGTGGTTCCGGGTAGGAGCTAGGTGACCCTCGGCTGCTGTGGGAACCTGCAGCGACTGCAGCCATGGGGGCGCACCTCGTCCGGCGCTACTTGGGCGATTCCTCGGTGGAGCCCGACCCCTTGCAGATGCCAACTTTCCCGCCCGACTACGGCTTGCCCGAACGCAAGGAGCGCGGTGAGGCCCAATGCGCAGGCGCGACCAGAGGGCGTGGGGCGCGGGCGCCTGAACCCCCGAAACCCTGGAACCCCAAGACTGGGCTCTAACCTCAGGTGTTGTGTCTGGGTTTGGGTCTAGACTAGGAGTCCAGAGGACGTGCGTGTCCCCGCCTGAGGGTGGAGGCGTTCCAGGCCAAGGGCACGGCTTGAGCAAAAGCCAGGGTGCAAAAGTGAGACAAGTAGGGGATCGGGCAGGAGTGCGGCGCGCAGAGTTCAGTCGAGTCTTTTTTTTTTCTTTTGAGACAGAGTCTTGCTTTTTCTTTCAGGCTAGAGTGCATTGGCGTGGTCTCGACTCACTGCAGCCTCCACCTCGCAGGTTCAAGCGATTCTCCTGCCTCAGCCTTGCGAGTAGCTGGGATTACAGATGTGTACCACCACGCCCGGCTAATTTTTTGTTTTTGTTTTTGTTTTTGTTTTTTTTTTTTTTTTTGAGACGGAGTTTCGCTCTTGTTGCCCAGGCTGGAGTGCAGTGGCGCGATCTCGGCTCACTGCAAGCTCCACCTCCCGGGTTCACGCCATTCTCCCGCCTCAGCCTCCGAGTAGCTGGGATTACAGGTGCACACCACCGCACCTGGCTCATTTTTGTATTTTTAGTAGAGACGGGGTTTCACCATGTTAGCCAGGATGGTCTCGATCTCCTGACCTCGTGATCCACCCGCCTCGGCCTCCCAAAGTGCTGGGATTACAGGCTTGAGCCACCGCGCCCGGCCTTGTATTGTTAGTAGAGACAGGGTTTCACCGTGTTGACCAGGCTCCTGACCTCAAGTGATCCGCCTGCCTCGGCCTCCCAAAGTGCTGGGATTATAGGCGTGAGCTACCACTCCCGGCTTCGGGCCGAGTCTTGGGAGACGTGGGGAGTCACGGGAGGGCAGGGACATGTTCATTGTACCCCTTTCCTAATGTCACTGCAATTGTGGTGCATGCACAAGAAAATAAGGAAGATTCGCGCCGCGAATACCGTCCTGCAAAGTTATTTGTTTTGCTTTGAGATGGGATCTTGCTCTGTTGTCCAGGCTGAGTGCAGTGGTGCAATCACAGCTCACTGCATCCTCGACCTCCTGGGCTCAAGCTGTCCTCCTGCCTCAACCTCCCGAGTAGCTGGGACTACAGGAGCGTGCCAGGATGCCAGGCTGATTTTTTATTTTTTGTAGAGATGGGGGTCTTGCTGTTGCCCAGGCTGGTGTCAAACTCCTGGGCTCAAGCGATCCTTCTGCCCAGCCTCCCAAAGTGCTGGGATTGCAGATGTGAACCACTACGCCCAGGACGGTTTTTTGGTTCGTGTTTGTTTTTGCTTTTAATGTAGTAATATCACAGGCATACCGAGAGCCAGCTCTGGGCCACGTCCCACATTAGGAACCGCGGATACAGCAGGGAACTGGAAGGATGCAGGCACTGTCTCCAGAGAACTCACAGCACAGTGGGAAGGATCGTGGAATCAGGCAGAGCTGGATGGTGTCAAGGCAGGCTTCCAGTAGGCAGCGGCTGGAAACAAAGACGTGAAGGGTGGCCGGGCGCGGTGGCTCATGCCTGTAATCCCAGCACTTTGGGAGGCTGAGGCGGGCAGGTCACCTAAGGTCAGGAGTTCGAGACCAGCCTGGCCAACATGGTGAAACACTGTCTCTACTAAAAATACAAAAATTAAGGCCGGGCACGGTGGCTCATGCCTATAATCCCAGCACTTTGGGAGGCCGAGATGGGCAGATCATGAGGTCAGGGGTTCAAGACCATCCTAGCCAATATGGTGAAACCCTGTCTCTACTAAAAATACAAAAATTAGCTGGGGGCATGGTGGTGCGCACCTGTAGTCCCAGCTACTCAGGAGGCTGAGGCAGGAGAATCGCTTGAACCCAGGAGGCGGAGGTTGCAGTGAGCTGAGATCACACCACTGCACTCCAGCCTGGGCGACAGAGCAAGACTCCATCTCAAAAAAAAAAATATATATATATATATAAATTAGGCTGGGCACGGTGGCTCACGCCTATAATCCCAGCACTTTGGGAGGCCAAGGCCGGTGGATCACCTGAGGTCAGGAGTTCGAGACCAGCCTGGCCAACATGGTGAAACCCTGTCTCCCAAAAATACAAAAATTAGCCGGGTGTGGTGGTGCGTGCCTGTAATCCCAGCTGTCTGGGAGGCTGAGGCAGGAGAATTGGCTGGAACCCGGGAGGCAGAGGTTGCAGTGAGCCGAGATCGGGCCACCACACTCCAGCCTGGGTGACAGAACGAGACTCTGTCTGGAAAAGAAAAAAAAGATGTGAAGGGCCACGAGTAGGGGTTGACCAAAGAGAGGTGGCAGAGCCAAAACTTCTAAACAGAGGAGGGACACAGTCAGGTTTGGTCAGTCAAAAGGTCCCGCTGTCTGCTGAGCGGGCGACAAGCATGAGACAGAGACCTCTAAGCAGCCTGGATTTGAGAGAAAGTTGGGAGATGGTATAATCGGTCCAGTGTCCTCACTCCAGGCAGTCCTTCCGCCCCAGCTGAACCTGCAGTCCATTGGTCCGTCCACCTCCCTCCCATTGCCTCACATACCTTGCTTTGCCCAAGATCAGCTTTGCAAACGCTAGCAACCTGCTGCCCTTCTCTCTCGCTTACTCTGGATAAACTCACCTCTTTCCCTTCCTTGGCGCCTATCCCCATGCAACTGAACATGATGCGGGAGAGATCAGAAAAAAACAGCTCTAAGCTAGGCAAAATGGCTCATGCCCAACGCTTCGGGAGGCCAAGGCAGGAGGAGTGCTGGAGGCCAGAAGTTCAAGAATAGCCTGGGCAACATAGCAGGACATGTCTCTATAATTTTTTTTTTAAATTAGCTGGGTGTGGTGGCACATTCCTGCAGTCCCTGCTGACTGGTCTCCCGATTGGTTCTCCAGTGGACTCTTCATGCTGCCTGGCCTTTCTGTTACCTCCTGGATCCTTCACTCTCTCCCTCCCTCCTAGACCACTGTCCCCTGCCCTCTCTTTCCTCCTTTCCACCCCCTTTCAGCCAGTCACTTTGCTAACTGCAACATCCGCCTTCCTGGTTCAAGCAGTTCTCCCGCGTCAGCCTCCCGAGTAGCTGGGATTACAGGTGCACACCACCGCACCTGGCTCATTTTTGTATTTTTAGTAGAGACAACGTTTTACCATGTTGGCCAGGCTGATCTCGAACTCCTAACCTCAAGTGATCCACCCGCCTCAGCCTCCCAAAGTGCTGGGATTACAGGCATGAGCCACCGCGCCCGGCCCATATTTATTTATTTGTTTATAGAGATGGGCTCTCACTCTGTTGCTTAGGCTGGAGTGCAGTGGTGCGGTTACCACCCACTGCAGCCTCAAACTCCTAGGTTCAAGCGATCCTCCCAAGTAGCTCTGCCTTCTCTGTGTGCACCACCGTGCCCAGACAATTTTATTATTTTTTCTAGACATGGGATCTTTCTGTGCTCCCCAGGCTGGTCTCCCTAATACTTAAGCACTGCCAGACACGCTGTGGTGCTCTGTCTTCTGTCTGTTCTGTGTCTCCCTCCGAGGGCAGGGACACTTGTGTGTTATGTTCCGTGCTGTATCCCCACAACTAAGCACACAGTAGGCGGTCTAAAGTCCTTGCTGCTAGCTGATTATAAGTTTGAGACAAAAGAGGGAGGAGTCTAGGATTGCCACCTGGAGCTCCAAGTGCAGATAGGGAACAGCCAGGGGCTGCAGGTGATACCCAGGCCTAGGGCTCAAGCGAGGTGTGGGGTGGAGGGACCACATTGGGCTCATCTACCTAAGGGGTGGCAGCAGAGAAAAAGGATCTCAGACTGGGCGTGGACTAGCACCTGTAATCCCAGCACTTTGGGAGGCCAAAGGGGGTGGATCACCTGAGGTCACGAGTTCGAGACCAGCCTGACTACCATGGCGAAACCCTCTCTCTACTAAAAATACAAAAATTAGCCAGGCATGGTGGTGGACGCCTGTGGCGTCCCAGCTACTCGGGAAGCTGAGGCAGGAGAATCGCTTGAACGTGGGAGACAGAGGTTGCAGTGAGCTGAGATCTTGCTACTGCCCTCCAACCTGGGTGACCGAGTGAGACTCCATCTCAAAAGAAAAGAAAAGAAGAAGGCTCTCAGAACAAAGCTTAACGCAAGGCAGCCATAGAGATGGGAGGAAACCTGGGAAGGCGGGATGTGGGAGGAGCCACAGGAAAGAAGGAAGTGGGAGGCTGGGGTCCTGGGCTGTTGGGTGGCCCTGTGAGAGCCCCTGTCTGGGCAGTGAGAGGGTGGGGCAGAAGCCAGAGAATGGAACAAGGGGCAGGAGAGGAGGACCTGGGCCTGAGTGGGATGAGAGAATCACGGCATGGAAGCAGAGGGGAGAGAAGCCAGCCTGGGATGACTGCCATTGAGATGTGAGTATGTCTCCTCTCCCTTGCGCAAATGGGAAGGAGCTGGGACTAAGAAAGATGTGGACGTCAGGAGGGCTAGGGAGGCTGGGTCTGAGGGAGGCAGCAGGAAACAAGTGCAGGATCGCCAGGCACAGGCTCCAGGGTGAATGTCCAGGGTTCCTCAGGCTCCCATCAGCCTCCTGAAGGTTGATTTGTCCGGAGTCAGGTTTGCTAGGTGAGTGGGGCACCGGGACCCAGATACTAGTCCAGCTGTCTTCTGAGCCCACGCCTCCTAAGTATCTTACAGGTACTGTTAGCTCAGTGGATGCTCAGGTAACTTCCATGAGCTGATGGTCAGTTCTGAGGCTCAGAGAGAGGCCACGCCGCCGGCCAGTGCAGAGCCGGGACTCGGGCGGGTTGCAGACAAGAAAGGCTAGGAGTCTGACTGGAGCTGCGGGTGCAGGTGGAGAGTCTGAGGGGGTACTCTGGGAGAAGGTGGATTCTGAGAGCGGGGCTGTAGAGAGTTGGGGACGGGCATCCCTGCGGGAGGGGAGGCAAGGATCCAGCGCAGGATGTTGAGGTGCCTCAGGGTGATGGGGAGCCACCTTCTCCTGTCTGGGCTTTGGTGTCTGGAGTTGCCTTTGTGCAAATTAGAAAAGGAGGCCCCTTCAGGACAGTGCGTCCAGCAAAGGCGTCTGCCATCCACTACCATCTGCCACCTGGATGTTAATGGGGGACACCCCGAGCCGTGGCTTCCTGATGCCGTGTGCCGGGGTCCCCTGGGGATCCCTGGAATTGGGGTGGGAGGCCTTCAGCCTGGTTGAGGCCTGCCCACTCCCTGCAGCGATGGTGGCCACACAGCAGGAGATGATGGACGCGCAGCTGAGTCTCCAGCTGCGGGACTACTGTGCCCACTACCTCATCCAGCTGCTCAAGTGCAGGCGCGACAAGTTCCCCAACTTCCTGGCCTGCAAGCAGGAGCGGCACGACTGGCACTACTGCGAGCACCGCGAGTGAGAACTCCCACACCGGCCCGCCAACACCCTCGGCCCGCAGCACCCCACACCCCCAGCCTTCCACAACCCCGGCCCACCCAAGCACCCCACACCCCCGGCTCGCCCGAGCCCCCTGCCAACACCCACAGCCTGCACCCCACCCAGGCCCTGGCCCCTGGCAGGATGTGGCTCCAGAGGCCAGGGACCTGAACTGCCACTGAGGTTTCTAGCCGGGCCCCACCTTAGTCCCAGAGAGGGCTTTCTAGGGGCCTGTTGGATGGGGACAGGGCAGGTGGCTGAAGCCACCTAGGGGAGTGGCCAAGCCCAGGTTCCAGCGGGAAGCCCTATCATCTGCGTGGACAGACCCCAGACCTAAACCACAGGCACTCGGGTCTGTCTTCTTCAGAGGCCTCCCCCACAGTGCTGTGGGACAGCCCCTCTACTTCCCAGGGCTTGGAGGGCGTGTCCTGGCCAGCGACCCTGACAGCCCCTCTCGTGCTTTTCCCTCAGCTATGTGATGCGCATGAAGGAGTTTGAGCGGGAGCGGAGGCTGCTCCAGCGAAAGCAGCGGCGGGAGAAGAAGGCCACAGAGTTGGCCAAAGGCCAGGGACCCGGGAAAGTGGACCCCCAGGTGGCCCTGTAGGGGGTGCACCCCCCACCCTATGGACCAGTCAAATAAAAACCTTCAGGCCCCTCACCAGAGTCCCCTCTTACGGCGCCAACGCGAGGGTGGGGAGAGAGCGAGGGGCATGTGGTGGTCCCCAACCTCGGACAGAAACACACAGAGCCCGAGTCCGGACAGAAACACACAGAGCCCGAGTCCGACAGGGGCAGGCGGGGTTTATTCCGGGTGCTGGAGAGCTGCGGGCCCCACTCCTCCCCCAGAATGCCACCCGGGTGAGGGGCTGAGCCCCAGCAGGGGTGAGCGCTCAGAGCAGGAAGGGGATGATGGGCATGCGCAGGGGCGGGTAGTCCCGGAACTCCTTCAGGTAGCTGCGGTGCTTGCCCTTGGCCCAGATGGTCATCTGGGTGAAGCCCACCAGGGAGAACAGGGCCACTGCAGGAAAGAACGGGCGTCAAGGAGGGGCTGCAGGCCCGGAGGGGCAGGGCCCCGCCGAGGGAGGGCGGCAGGCTCACCTGGGAGACACTGCGTCATGATGGCGAAACCGATCCAGGACCCCACCTGTGGGCAGGGGCGGAGGGTGAGGGTGGGCAGGGCTGGACAAGGCCCGCTGTTCCGCCAGTCTCGCACCCTGTGGCTGTCCTGGACTCAGTCACCCACGTCCCCCAGCCCCTGCTTTCTGAGTCAGGGATGGGAACCCAATTCCAGTGGAGGCGGGGCTGTATACTGCGAAAACCCAACGGCACATGCCTCCCGGCCCCCACAGCAGGAGGCCGCGGTCTCTACCTCCCAATGCTCCCAATGCAAAAGCAGCTGCCCAGCCAGGCGCCCCCTCCTAGGGGCTGGCCCCTCCACATGGGACCCCAAGTCCCAGGGCAGAGAGGGGTAAGGCAGCCCCTCACCTCGTAGGTGTAGTTGGGGCAGGACACCAGCAGGAAGAGCCACGTGAAGGGGTTCTTGGTGGGGTATGGGATCTTCCGGGTCTTGGACCCTGGTAGGCAAGACAGGAGAAAGTCAGACCCCCTCACCCAGCCCAGCTGTCCCCCTGCCCCCAGCAGGCACTCACCAGCGGGCCGCAGGTCCCGCAGGGCCATGTGGATGGAGAAGTTGCCGAGCTGGCAGATCTGTCAGAGAAGCAGGATCAGCCTAGGGTCGCCCAGATTTCCCCCACCCCATCCCCACACCCAGCCTCCTTACCACAAAGATGGCGAGCGCCAGTTTCACCTGCTGAGCTCCGTAGGCTGCAGAGGAAGCAGCGAGGGGAGGCCCATGAGGGGAGGACCCGGTGGGTGGGGGCCGTGGGGGAGGGAAGGACGGTCTGAGGCCACTTACTAGGCGGCGTGTAGAGAGGGTGGTTGATGTAATAGGCCATCCACGCGGCGAAGCCCCAGTAGTAAGTGCAGTTCTGAAAGGGAGCGGGGTAGGGATGGGACTTGGGCCAGTGCCGGCAGGACGGATTCTGTCTCATCCATAGGGGCCTAGGAGCATGGTGGGGAAGGGCAGGAGGGGCCTTGGGGCGGGGCTGGGGAGGATAGGTGGGGCCAAGGGGTGAGGCTAGGGCAGGGCTCTACGAGGGCGTGGTGGACAGGAAGGGCCTAGGGGTGAAACTGGGGCAGGGCTCTGCAGGGGCGGGGCTGGGGAGGACGGGCAGGGCCTAGAGGCACTGCAGGGGCGGCGCTGGGGAGGTTAGGCGGGGCCTAGGGGTAGGGCTCTGCGGGGCGTAGTGGAAGATAGGAGGGGCTATGGGGTAGGGCTCGATGTGGGCGGGGTGAGGCGGAAAGGCGGGGCTCAGGGGTGAGGTGGGGGCGGGCTCTCACCTTGAAGATGTTGCGCAAAGGCATGGTGCCATGGGAGAAACGGTGCACGAAGAGCGTCTCCAGCAGGCGCTTGACGTAGTGGAATGAGTGGCAGATGCAGGCGAGGCTGGTAGGGGGGAGCGGGCTCAGCTGGGGGCTGGTCCGGCAGGTCTTCTGCCTTCCCCTACCCTCCTCCCGCCTGCCCCACTTACTGCACCACCGTGTGCCGACTGGACGTGAAGTCGTATTTGTGGCCATAGATGAAGGGCACTCGGAAGTAGAAGAGCAGGTAGATAAAAAGGGGCCCCGCGTACTCTGTTAGGAAGACCTGAGGGTAGAGGGAGGCAAGATGAGTCACCCAATGTGGCTGATGGGAAAGGAGGCCGTGGGTAGGGTCAGGACTCACCGTCACCCAGCTGATCTGGGCCCCCAGGTCCCGGAAGTAGAGCGTGGCCGTGGTGCCCACGGGCAGCTTCTGTAGAACATCCTCATCCTTCAGGGACTTGCCCTCTGCAGAGAGGCGGGCCAGGGCTCAGGGGCTGCCCGGGCCTTCTCCCACTGCCACCCAGGAGCCTAGGGGGCGGGCCGAGCGGACAGCTGTACTCACTGGGGTCCAGGCGGAGGGACTGGCGGGCGGGGTACCATTGCGGATCTGGGGGAGAACAGGGCGGTTACAGCCCACAGACTGGCAGGGCTCAGCCGGTCCGCTGCCCAGTCGCTGTGCCAGCTTCTCAGGGTTCCCAGGGTGCAGGGACCCCAGGACTCCACAGCTCCTCCCACCCGGGGGCAAAGCCTCAGGTCTGTGCAGTTCCAGGACACAGGCCGGAAGAGCGCGGGCACAAGCAGGATCTTGTCCTTCCCAGAGCCTAGCAAGGGCGTTCCTGCGGCGTGCCACGTGGGGGCGCCTGCCCCAGTCACGCCCCAGAAGCCTAGGCCACGCTGGGGCATCTCTGCAGGCCCCTGGGAGAGGGGTGCCGGATGGGATCCCTCCCACCCTAAGGTCCCTGGTCAGAGGGGCTGCAGGGGCAGTGTGGCCAGGCCTAGGACTCACGGGTCTTGGTGAAGAGGTTCTTGATCTCCGCAATGGTGGCGTGGGGCTCCACCTGGAGGAAGCACAGGCGCAGGGAGGTCAGCTCTACGGGGAGCCCAGACCCAGGATGGGGAGGTAATGAAGGGGATGGCAGGCTTGGGGTTGGGCTGTAGCTATGGGAAGGGGGAAGGGCTGGGGTCTGGAAGGCAGAGGCCTGGACAATCAGGGAAGCAGCAGCGAGGGCCCTGCCAGTGCAGTGACAGCAGGGGTCTGGGGCTCCAGTTTTACCCTCAGCCAGCAGGCCCCCAGCCCAGCTAGTGGCAGATTAAGCAAGGGAAGGCAAGCCTGCTTCTCTGCCCCTCCTCTCTACTCCTCACCCATGACTCCCCTGGGCACAAAGGCCCTCTTTCCTCCCCAGGGACAGCCCAAGCCCCTTCCCCCGGGGGCAAGGCTCAGCAGGGGCAAGGCTCACTCCTCCACCACCCTCCCAGGACCAAAATCCCCGCAGGGTCTACTGAGACTCCCATGCCTCCATTTCCCCGCCACACCCAGGGGACGGGGCTATCTACCCTACCCCAAGTGAAGGCATACCCCTCCACAGGGCCCCACTGGACAGCTCCTGGGCTGGAAGGAGGGGGGTCCCGGGCCCAGTGCCCTTGGCCCAGTGCAGCCCATGTTCCGGTCCTACCTTGTCCAGGAAACACAGCTTCTCCCTTGTCTTTGCATCCAGAATCTCCACCTCGAAGAAGAGAACAGCCTTTTTAGGTTTCTTGGCCACCTTTGGGGGTGTGGGCCTGGGGAGCCCATTGAGGCCAGGGAGGAGTCCTGGGGTGGCCTCCCGGGCCACCAAGTTCAAGCTCATGTCCATGCCGCCTGCCACCAGCCCTGCCGCTCGGCTCTGCCCACGGTGGCCAGCAGCCCCAGCTGCCAGCCGTCAGCCCCCACCACCGACCTCCCCATGCGAAGCAGCCCTGGGCCGGGCAAGCGCGATCAAATTCTGCCGCGGTGCTGGAAAGGTGCCCGTGCCGGCCCTGGCACTGCCGGCTTCTGTGCCAGATGTAACCCGAGTGGCAACCACAGCCACAGCCCAGCTAAATATAAAACCAGCCCGGACTGTGCCCCCCTCCCAGGAGCCGTGCCACAGACCTTCTCTGAGGGGGGTTTAGGAGTTGACCCCCGGGAGCCAGGCTGCCCTGAAAGCAGTTTTTGAGTGGTCACGGTCCCTCAACAGCACCAGCACAGGGAAAGCCCCAGGGGCAGGCATGGTGACACCTCCCAGCCCCCGCCCTGCACAGAGCCAGCGGCCTGAGGAGAGTGAGAGGCCAGCAGGCCGTGCAGGCCCCAGCTTACAGCTCAGGCCTAGGGAGTTCACTGGGCTTGGAGAAATCCCAGCTATTTTGAGAATCCGCGAGACAGATCATCCATTTCCCCTTCGGAGCTGTAAGAGACACTTCGGATTATTTTCCTTGTGCATTTGTGTTACCAGGGAGGTGACAGATTCCGGAGTTATGGGTGCAGAGAGCCTCTCTCAAAGTGTGGAAAGGATCGGGGTGCTTGGAAGTTTTAGACAAGCGCCTCCAGTCTGGGCTGAGGAGGCCTCCCCGACCTTCCTCCCCACCCACTTCTCACCTTGTAGCCACCTGTGAGGCAGGCTTCCCACTGAGTCAGCCCAAACACTGCACCCCTACCCAGGACCTGCACCCCGCTAAAGCCCGGCGCTTCCTGCGTCCAAGAGCCAGGCCTGTGCCAGCCCCTGAGGGAGAAGTCCGGCCCAGCCCTCCATGAGCCCCCAGGCCAGTGATGAACGATGGGGGTGCAGAGGGGCAGGGCTGGAGGGAGGCAGCCCCCGCGGATCTGACCCACCCTATGCAGGGGTCAGTGCAATCCTATCACACAGGGGTCGTGGCAAGCAGGCAGGCCTGATACCAAGTCAGCCACCGGCCAGCAATTCTTGGGGGACCCTTCCTACCCACAGAACCCCCAGCAGGGCCCCCAGAGGCTGCCTGAGGAAAAGGAGCAGGACATAACACTCAGAAACAAACCTCTGGGCCAGGGCCATCCCAGGGCAGGTCCACCCACCCAGAGCCCAGGGAGGCTGGGCCATGGCAGCTAGGGCCCACCCTGAGGGAGAGGGCACCACGGTCAAGCCAGAGAAGGTGGGCACCCCTCCTGCACACTCCCAACGACAGTGGGAGACAAGGGGGCTTGGTGGCCTGCACTCGGAAACTGTAACCAGCCCTGCCTTGTAG